TTTTTTAAAATATGGAATGCTTCACGAATTTGCATGTCATCCTTGTTCAGGGGCCATGCTAATCTTCTCTGTATCGTTCCAATTTTAGTATACGTGCTGCCGAAGCTAGCACGTCCTTTTTCCTTTTGTTCTGCAGTAAAATGCATGGATGAGAGAAGTGGGAAATAAGGGAGGGAGACAGGCTTCTCCGGCTTCCTCTGTGAGCCCCTGGTTGTGAGGCTGGGTGGGAGGGGTTGTTCACATGCAAACACCTTGTGCTTTAACTTTCAGGGGACTCTTCTGCTATGGGTGCCCAGGAAGGGACTACCCCTCTTTGCAGTATTTTACACCCTTGGTAACATCGCATCAATTGGAAGGTAACCTTTTTTTTTTTTTAATCCAACCTTAGCCAATCATTAGATGGGGAAATGGATGTGGATTGTGCTCGAGGGAGGTGGAGGAGGAGGCTCCAGTAGTTTTAAGGATTTGGAGAGAAAAGAGGTAGTCGGAATATATCACAATCATGTGCTGTTATTTTGAAACATTTTGTATCTTAGTTTATCTTTGAAACACCTGGGAGAAAGCAAGAACTATATTGCCATTGTGATTTTGCATATGAGGGAACTGTGACACAGAGCAGCTGAAAGATGTCTGAGGTTTACAACATGGTCCTCCCCATCGCTTGTAGTCTTATTGCTGCCAGAGACTGAGTTGGTGGGTTTTAAAAGGCTTACCTTGCCAGTGGCCCTAAGTGAAACTGATTTTTATTGTCAGACCATCCCAGACCTGAATAGCAGCTCGTGCAGGCAGGGCGTCGGATGGAGCGCTTCCCACAAGTGGGCGGCCCATTCCACGCGCTGCGGGTGCACAGACATCCCAGGTCAAGTTCCTTCTCACTAGTGCTTCAGCCTCACCCATGCCGACAACTCCAGTCAGCCTCTGGAGCTGGGAGCGCTGGCCTGGCCTCTACCTGAGTGGCCCGCAAGAACCTGAACTAAGTCATCTCTCCTCCCCCGACCCCCGTGATTACTCACCAACGCTTGGTGTAGACAGTGTCATACCTGGCTCCTTCTTTGTCTCCATGGCTGTTTGTCCCACACTGATTGACTTACAAGCCCAGTGGGTAAGTGTTGATCATGCTCTGTGCTGGGCTATGAGGATACAAAGATAAGTACGGTTTGGTCCCACCTGCAGTGGAGCTCACTGGTCAGCCAGGCAGACAAACCTCATGTAATAAAATTGATGACACAACAGGATATGGAAAGAGAGATGCTCAGGGAGGGACAGCCGACCCGACCTGACTTGCACATTGGGGGGCTTTCCTAGATAAGGTGCTGACTGAGCTGGTCTTAACCTTGGCCTGTATCATTTCCCACCTGAACAGGATGCCTCTGCTGGGTTTCTCTGCCTCCTTTACTGCCCCTCCCCAGGCCATTTTGCACTGAGTTGTGGAGCCGTTTGCTCATAGCTGCATAACCTCCTCGAGTGGCTCCCTGTTCCCTCTCCACATGTGGAGTCCAGACGCCTCAGCATGCGTACAAGCAAGGCCCTGTGACATCTGGCTCACCTCGGTCCCACTCCCCAGCCAGGGCACCTCCCAGCCAGACTGAACTTCTTGCTTTTCTCCAAATGTCTCTGTGCTTTTGTTCAGGCTGTTTTCTCTGCTTACAGTGCTGCCCTACCTGTACCTTTCCTGGTTTGATACTTGCTCCTTTGTCAAGACCTAGCTCAAAGTCACCTCTTCTGTGACACTCTTCGTGATTTCCTCCTCCTGCCCAGAATTGATGGTCTCTTCCTTTGGGCTCTCTATATCCCATCTGTACTTAAGTGATGGCACAGGTAGCATTTTATTACACTGACCAGTTACCAGTCTGTAAGCCACTTGACAAGGGCTGTGCCTGTGTCTTACTTGTCCCCGGTTGTACCTAAACCTCGCTCTGTGGCTGGAAATGTTAACCAAGTGGTTGAGTGCGTGACTCTTGGCACTTTCTTAAAGCTTAGTTTATAATCAGCGCATATGACAGTAAAATGCTGACCCTCAGAGATGTTTAATGTTGCTTCTCAGGCTTTCTCAAATACTGACTTTTGGGGAATTTAGCTTTGGGCAGACAGTGTAGGTTATAATGTATAGTCTAGACTGGGCATAAATATATGGGTGTACTGCTTAATGCCCAAGAGCTATTTAGCAAATCCTAGTGGGATGGACTCTTTAAGGCACTGTGTAGGGAGACAATAAAGGGAGCAAATTGTTATTTCCAGGATGTGTTTAAGAGTTTGTGGATTTCCCTGTAATCTCTTATATTTTGTATCTGTGCTGTGTTTAATTTTTAAGACCAGCTTTGGCTATTGCTTCTTACCTGGTGTAGACTAAAGAGGTGCACCCTTACTGGGCCACATGAGCTGAGAGTGCAGCCTTGAATTCAAAGTTGTAACTTCATGGCACTTCTAAGAGAAGCAGACTTACTTTTTAAAACTCTTGTCTTTGTTGAATACTCGGTAGCTAATGTCTGCTGGTTGGCTTGTATTAAGCACTAGCTGTAACTAAGGAGCTATCACTGGGGTGACACCACGTTGGCGTTTTCCTCAGGACTCAGGAAACATGACGTAAAGCTGGCCTTTGCCTTTGCTGTGTTAGGCGTGATAATGGTCTGCCTCCTCTGTGATCACTCTCGCTGCCCACCTCTCTAGTTCATTCACACAGAATTCATGCTGGGGATGTGTTTTGTAATTTTGGAATGCAGTAGATGTTGTTGAGTTTGAATGCCAGCTCTTTGGGTTCCTAACATGTGAACTTGGATAAGTCAATTAACCTTTCTGAGCTTCATTTTCTCATCTCTGAAATAAGTTTAATATATAAGTCACAGTGTTGTCAAAGGATTGAAACAAGGTAGTATCTGTAATATCTGGCATTTAGCAAACATTGAACAGATAACAAATGATATTATTATCATTAGAATTATTTCTTGGAGATTATGAAAGAAAAAGAAATGCTCTACTTTTTAACATAACCAACCGAAGCCTGTAAGGTATGGCTTATTTATTTTTTTTTAATTACCTGATCCTTTTTGGTTTGTTTTCATGGGTAGATTGTCAAGGAGACAAGGTAGCATCTTCTAGAGATTGGGGCCATCTAACCTGGTGATATGAATAGGATTGTAGAGTCAGACCCACGTGCATTTACAGCCTCGCTGTGTCATTTACTAGGTGGGTGGCACTGGATAAGTAACCCTCTGGGCTTCAGTGTAAGTGTTCCTATTCCATAGGTTGTTGATAGATTAAATGAGAATAATGCATAAAAGGCCCTTAAACACAGTGCCTGCCACAGAGTAAGGGCTTTCCAAATGTTAGCTGCTATTACAGTTTATTGCCACAGGAAATCTTGGGGCGGTCTCAGCATCCCTCGTGTGGTTCTGGTCTGGTCTGACGGCTTGCATGTGTGTTTGCCTCTTAGCACCATCTTCCTCATGGGACCAGTGAAACAGCTGAAGCGAATGTTTGAGCCTACGCGTCTGATTGCAACTATCATGGTGCTGGTAAGTTCTGCGTTTTAGCTGGGCTTCTCAAATGGGAGTTTTTATTTCTTTTGTATAGAGTTTTTCCCTTTTAAACCTAAAGTCTTCTTTCCTTTTTTCTTTCATCTTGACTTACTCCTCAATTCCTGTAACCTCGTGGCAGAAGGGAGCATTCTTCATATAGTAATTACCATGATCCCTTCCTACCCCTGTTTTTGTTTCACTTGGTGTCCAGGTACTGCCAGTTATGTAAAGCACCTCTAGAGGGCGTTGCTTGTCAAATGAGCCCAACCAGCATGGTGGTAGTAAGAGAGCTGGGACACCTTCCTGGTGACAGCTGAAGCCACGCACAGGCAGAGCTTAGAGGGAATAACCCAGAAACACAAGACTCATTCTCTAGAGTGGGTGTCCAGTCTTCTAGGATGGGCCCTTTTTTTCCTTATCATTATCTGACTTTGGATCATATTACTTGTTTTCATCAGTCTTCGTGAAGTGGGAGTGGCTTCCTCATGGCCTGTCATCCTTGTCCCCTGCTCTGACAACAGTGCCTTCAGTTTTGTTATATCTTCCTGTCCCATCGGCCCAGAATGCCTCTCATTTTTGGCCCGTTCTCTTCCATGTGGCCGTTAAATCATTCCAGACCACGTTTTCTGGACTCCTTTTATAATGATCAGTATTGCAACTTTTGGAACTTGATCAACATACTTTTATTTTTAATTGCATTTGTGTACATATCATTTGTTCGAATAGATAAGTTCTCTAAAGCCATGATCACATTTGCTATTTGTTTTGTGTCCTTTCAGAGCATGGGGCACAATGCTGGGCACAGAGAAAATACTTAGGACCTACTTAGTGAGTAGCCAGTGTTATAGAAGGATGGAGAGGAAAGGCATGGCTGACGGCTTGAGCACTAGTTGTTCTTGGCCAGTCCCGGAGGTCAATGGCCTGGACCAGTCTCCTGTAGAAAGAACTTTCTAAGAAAGGCCTTAGGGAAAGTGTTAGGTGGCGTGTAAACAAATAACCGGCTTGCTGACTGTGAGATCGACATCTCATGTTAACCTTTGTCCTTATATGCCCTTTCTGTTCCAGAGACTAGCGATGGCAGAAGTTAAAACATAGAGATTTGTGTTAAGCTTACTTTAGTGTGTTTGAATGAAAAGATGGGTGGATAGATGAGTGGGCTATAAATGTGATTTTGTTTGCTGGGCACAGATTTTTGGGAATACCTGAAAGTAGAAGAACATCTTTCTCTTTTTAATCTACATGAATATTTATTGGCCAATTTGATTTCATGGGGATTTTAACTCTTCTGCCAAACATGGGTGCTCAGGTGGGTTAAATGCTTTAAAATGAAGGGTGCATTTGGTTGCTGTGATGAGCACAGCATCTGCAGCCCAATAAGTATTGTTGTGAGTTGGTCAGGAATAAGTCTTACAGTGTTTTTGCTTTGTTGTTGCTATGTTGTCATTGTACTAATTAAATACTGTTTCCTTTCTTCCTCTAGTTGTGTTTTGCACTTACCCTGTGTTCTGCCTTTTGGGTAAGTGTATATTTTAATTTCTTCTTAACCTTTTTGGCTTGTGCCCCTTGTCACACACTCTCCTGTAACCATGTCATTTTTCTTTCAGTGGCATAACAAGGGGCTTGCACTCATCTTCTGCATTTTGCAATCTTTGGCATTGACGTGGTAGGTAACCTTTTAAACAGCCCCCTCCCACATAGCCCTCTGACGGATGCAGCTGAAGGAGATGAAACCCACATGTTGTGGGTAGGAGGATTAGGAAAACACAGAAGCTCTTTAAAAGAGTTCTCAGTGACGCGCGTGAAGTCAGGCTCCAGAGCAAAAGCCCATGGATGCGGCCCACCGCCAATAGATGGCACCAGTGGTCTTGAGTGGTCGCGGGAGGCTGCTTGTTTGCCTGCTGCAGCATTTTTGCTGGGCTCCTGGTTGATTTTGAGATGTTGCAAATGTTATTAAACCACTCATGTCAGTGAGTGGAAAGACAATGAAAGTATTGTGAGGGCTGGTAAAAAGAGGCTTATGAGTCAAATAGATGCTAACGAAATAGGAAAGTGGTAAGAAAAATAAAAAGTGCTACATTTGTGATGGAATGAATCATTTCGCAGAAGGACAAAGAGTGAATTGTCAGTAGGAGATGAGGAACAGTCACTGACAGAAAGGAAAACCGTGTGGCTGTGGGCTGTAGCATCAGCATATGCACTGGAGTGGAGGCCTGTTGGCTTTTGGTAATTCAAGTGACGGCTAGGAGAGTGTAAGTTGAGAGCCAAGCACAGTTACAGGGCTACTGGAGACGTTATCTTCCAAAACCAGGGGGCCTTTTCAAACCTATACGACATCAAGCTTTGGTGCTAAACAGAGGGGTGGTGACAGGTATGGAGTCTGCAGCTCCGGAGACATTTCTGTAACACTTTCAGAGTTTCTCAAGGGACAGTGTCTGCTAGAACAGCTTCAGTATGGGTGTGGCTGATCTATTTTGGAAAAACATGTTTGCTATAGTGCAAAGAAAAGGGGACTGTGGAAGTTTTAAAGCTCCCAAGGGTCAATGAACTCTTATTTGGTAATGGATCTCGAGACTGTAAGCTTAACCCCCACCCTTCCCTTTAGTAATTTTGGACTTTTGGATAAATACATTTTGAAAATGCCTTTTGGAATTGACTGTTCACAAGTAAATGAACTTCTGTATATGATAAGATACAGAGAAGGATAGTGGCATGGTTTTAATATGACATGTACATTTTGGCAATAGGTCCTAAACAGGCCTGATTTGGTGGCTTATATTGTGATTTTCTTTTGAGGGTGGAAATTGCTACCCATATACACATGGCTTTCTTTGCTTTTATAGACTGATTTTGAAGTCTGTTTCAAAGGTTTGGCATTCAGATAGGCTCAGATGAATGGCAGTATTCCCTTCAACACTGATGTATTCTGTGTTTGCTTTTCTTAGGGGTGACCAACTTACAACCTGCCTGACGCAGAATACCTGTGCTTTAGAGTTACGGAGCCTATTCCCTGCATGGTTCCCTTTTAGGCAATTGGCTAAGCTGACTGCGATTTACCAAGATACTTTGGGCATGGATTCTTTTTATTTTTTATATAAAAATATTTTATCTCAGCCTTATTTATAATACTGAAAAACAAGGTGCAATCAAATGTGTAATAATAAACTCTAGAGAATTGAGCCACCTTCAGGGGGTGGGGAGAGGAGTAGAGGAAGGGGCCTTGCTGTATTGCCCAGGTTTGTCTCGAACTCTTGAGCTCAAGAGATCCTCTTGTCTCAGCCTCCTGAGGGTCCTTGAAGAATTGGAGCTTTGTAGAATTTTCATGCATGGAGTAGTTGACAGTGCTCTTGCCCTTTTTTGTTCTGTCTTCTTTAAAAAGTAACAGGAGCAGAGCAGAAAATTTATCCCAATTAGGTAGAAGTTAAATTCTGTTGAGGACTTGTAAAATGTTAAGAGTTCAACTGGTGATTGAGATTTTACTTGGTATTTATTTTTTCAGAATAGGGTTCCTGTGCTATCTGGATATCTGGAATGTGCCTATTTTAAGTGATTGGTGCTTGCTCATTTGGTTAGACCAGTGTCCCAGTGAGGCTGAAGTCACAGGGTTTCCTCCACATGAACCTGTTGCTGGCTGTACACGTGGCACAGTGTATGAGTGGGCCTTTGTGTGCCCGTGCACATCCCCAGGCAGAGGAGGGGAGAGGGTCTGGAAAAATCATTGCGGATGTTCTCACAGCTCAGAAGCCTATTCCACTGTGTAATCTACTTCCTTCATTTGATTTGATCTTTTGTTTGTTTTTCATTGTAGGTATAGCCTCTCCTTCATACCGTATGCAAGGTAAGACTAACTATGTATTTGGAAATATAATTTCTGTCATTTGAGGACGATGATATATTTGCTTAAGGCCTTTTAATTTAGAGTATACTTTCGGAGAGTACATGCTATTTTTTTTTTTATCTTTACTAAAATCTCTTGAGCCGAATAGGCAAACATTATACATCTGTTTTATGGATGAATAAGCTAAGGGTCGCCCCTCCACCCACCCTAATTATACAACTAATGATGGGTGTTGACCCAGGTCCACCAATTCCTGATGGTGTTGAACATTTTATTCTGATACATATTGCATATATGCACATTATCTTTTAACCTGTAGCTTTGAGTAGGGTTTTTTTTTTTTTTAAGGTGACTGTCACTTGAATATCACTGGGCAAGAGATGGAGGGATCTCAGTTTGTGCTGGTTTCTTGTAGTAGCCCACTGAAGGGAAAGTTTCAGAAGAGTTTATAAAGGGAAAGTAAGCGGGACCAGGACTCTGGAGGGCCAGGGCTTCCTAATTAGCAATATGAACTTGGACAACCCTCTTGACCCCTCTGGCCTGGGCCAAGGCATTGATAACTATACTGGGTTGGATTAGATCATCCCCAGAGGCCTCTTTTGAACTCTGAAGTTCTAATACTCTTTCAGTGATGGGCCTCTCAAAATTAGCCATGTGATCTTTGCCTCTGACTCTGTTCTAATGCAACTATTTAACTTCCATCCTTCTTTATCATCACCTGTTAACTAAAAACCAGCTTTTCCTTAACTGCATGGAGGAAATGAAAAATTATGCCTGACCTGGGAAGGAGGAAGAACAACCTCATGTTTTATGCATTCCAAGTCTGTTGCTGAGAGTGATTTGAAAGTGCTGAGGATTAATTAGATGAGAAGTTAACAGGCCCAGCAAGTCAAGGTAGCTGGGTGGCTTTGTGGATGGGTTCTAGGAGGGTAACAGTTACGAAATACTCCATGCAGACCTGGCCAGTTTTGGGGAGTGGTGGCTTGTCTGAGAAGATTATGGGCAGGGATGTCCTAGGAAGCTAGGTTTTTATATGAAGGAAGCCAGAGCCCATCATAGCTGAGCATCCAACGAGATATTGATCAACCTGCCAACATTTGAATATATCTTGGTGTGTGAACCAGCTATGTAATTTGTAGGGCCTAGTGCAAAATGAAAATGTGGGTGTCTTTTTAAAAAGTGATTAAGAATTTCCAGGTGGTGACATCAAAGCATTAAACTCAGTGCAGACCCTTTAAGCATGGGGCCCAGTGCAATTGTAAAGGTCTTAGCCATAAAGCTTGCTTCGTGTCATTCGTCAGGGCTTCAGGCTTGATCTGGATTGGCATGTACAAAACTTACCTACGGTGATTGATAGGACAGTGGAATTCTGTTTGAGTTTTCATGTGCCGAGCAGATGGAAATTTCCTATAGTAGTGAGGGAATCACAAAGCTAGGTCCTGCCCTTCTATTTGTAACTTCCCCTAGAATAGCTTTTCCCACAGTGTTCCACAGAAACAGAAGAGTGTTCTTTGATCAAGTAAGTTTGGGAAACAAGTTAAGCAAAATTAGGCAGGTTGTTTTTTGCCTGGCTTTCCAGATCCTTTAATATGCTGTGTGTATTGTGAGCAGCCACGACTGGGACGCATGTGGCTATAAAACCTTTCTCGTGCAGAGCGTCTCTTAGGACTGTAGCGCAGAGCATATCTCAAGAAATGCTGCCCTGGAATCACTTTGATATTAAAATGCAGTGCCTGCTCGTGTAAATGCATTGTTCACCGCTCCCTCCCTTGTGTGATTCCCAGTGTCGTTAGGGCAAGCGCAGTCAAGAACACGGAAGGAACACAGCTGGGCATGGAAGCCTAGTGCCACGTTGCACAACGAGGTGTGGTGTTGGAAACGGGTATGCTTGCTGGGATGGAATAGTAATTTGTGAGCACCCACTCTTTCCTTGCAGTCTTTACTCTGGATTCCAAGGAGAAAATACCTGTGATAGGGCTGATATAGCATGTTAATAAGCGTTTGGTTCCCATAGAGAGATCTCTGTGTTAGGGAGCTCCTGAAAGATGTTCCTTAAGAAGTTTCTGCTGCCTGCTTAGAATGAAGAAAGGTCCTCGTGACTATTTGACTTAATACTTTCAGTGCGTTCTGTGATTATGGCTGATATTAAAATGCAGCAGTCCTGACTAATTTCTTATTTTCTGACAGCCTATACTTACCTTTTCATCTGATTAGCTATCATTTATTAAATACCTATTCTGTGCAGCGCACTAATTCCTACAACCAGTCTGTAGGAGAAGTGAGGAATTCGAAACTCAAAGAGGACAAATAACTTGCCCAGGATCCTACTGCCAATAAAAGTCGAAGCTGTGGTTTGGTGCTAAAGTAGGTCTGACCTACTCCGTCTAGGTGCTTTCTACTGTGCAGCTGCTACTCTGGGTGCCAGGGAAACTATAAAGAAGAGCCTTTGGGGTGACGGTATGTTCCACTCATCTTTGTGTTTTTTCCTTCCTAGGGATGCTGTGAAGAAGTGTTTTGCCACGTGTCTTGCATAATACACAGCCAATTTTGCAAAGTTTCAGAAGGCACTATGGATGGAAGCTGGTGGACAGTTGTGTAAATATCTTTTAAACCTCTGTCTTACAGACATGTGCCTTTAATCTTGCAGCAACGCGTTGCCTGCGATTCAAACATCTGAGACTTGCTTTTGGAAGCAACAATATGTTCCCAAACCTGAATGTCTGTAGCACAGTATGAGAAATGAGTTCTGTTCTGTATCTTACAGATTGGAATCTTCCTCATGCACCTCTTTGGATGTTGTCCCTCACAAATAAAAACCTGTTAGGCAGCAGCAGATAAGCCTTGGGTGCCAGTGATTCCCAGGTGGCAACAGGCAGCCCCATAAGAGATTGCAGGGGTGCAACAGTAAGGGACAGGATTTCGGGATCAGCAGGGACTTTGCTACTTGTCCCTCAGCATGGAAACCATCACCACTGTCCCACATAGAGTGGACGTGCTCTGGCATCTGAGAACAAGTGGTTCTGCCTTACGCAAGCCCGTGGAGAGCCTGGCTGTGGAGTGAAGTAGAAGATAGGCACTTTTTGGTGGTATATGTTGTTTCTGAATCTGAACCCAGGCACTCTTGCTGTTCTGGTTCTACGCCTGACTGTGGAATGTATTTTCTAACATTCCATGCAGACTCTTTTTGTCTTGGGTTTTTCTTTCCATCTCCTCCCCCGACCTCTCCCTACATATCTTTAGTTAGGACACCTTGGCAGTAGATGGAGAGAGAACAAAGCAGCAGCAGCAAACACTGCTATTTCCTTTTGGACAAGAGCAGATAGGAGGTGAAAAATCTTGCTGCTCTTAGCTGTACTTTTTTTTTCATTGTTTATAAATGCTTGCTTTTAAACTGATCTTATTTTCCATTCTCCTCTGGAGTGGGGCCAGGGCAGAGTGGATGGGAAGACAGATCCTGCAGTAGGTCCAACAGGAAGTAGGCACGCCTGCCCGGTGACCTTAAATAGCCCCAGCATTTGCGCTTCAGCCTGTGCTGGAGGCACCGCGGAGGACCCCGTGGATGGCAGGTGGTCATATCGCAGCCTCATGTGCCTAACCACATACAAAGCGCTTTTGTGTCCATGGTCTTTTCTGGTCCTTGTGAGAGCCTCGTGACGGAGCAGGGATCGGTACCCCACCACGCAGTCAAGGGCATCGAAGCTCAGATTGGTTTTCAGATCCACCCAAAGCACAGCCCTGGCAGAGTCGAGCCCAGAGCCTGGGTGCACCCGCTTCAGCCTCCTTCATGCCCAGTGTTGCCTGGCGTGTCTCTGGCTGCACCACCTGTAACTTTTCACCAGCCAAGCCTGCGCCTTTTCTAGCTCCTGTCTCTTTATGTCAAGTCACACGTGTCACCTCGTACCTGGCCCTCCCTGCTCATCTCCCTTTCTGGAAGCTTCCTCCTGGGTCTGTAGGATGTTCTTTGTTCCCTTGTGTTCCCTCTCAGCTTCTCTTTGCCGCCCAATCATCAATGTCCTTCCTCGTCAGCCAGAGTTCCCGGCACTCAAGGGCCTCCGCAGTCGCCCTGTAAATGAAGTCCACTTGGACTTGCCCATCTGCTCTTTATCCCAGGCCAGCTGGTTTGCTTGGGCTCCTGCTCTGGCCCTTCCAAACAAAGGCAGTGGCCCACTGGTTGTCTCCTAGCTTACGGCTAACTGCTGAACTTTCTCTATCCTACTGTGGCTAAGTCTGGCCTTTTCTTCTGGGAGCTGGGGAGGTGTGAACAGGCCTGATGGGGCCGGAGGGAGGAGCTGGTCTTCCCCAGGCCCTTTCTAGGCTGTTGAGAGCATCCTGTCAGACGCCGAGGTCCATAACCTGCCTTCAGCCAGGGTGGGATATTATATGCTACCCTCTGGCTTTTGTGGGGTTTATTCATGTCCCAGGTGCCTCTGGGAAACAGTTGAGATCTCAGACGGGCTCTGGTGCCAGGAGTACTCGTGGTTCCTTCTCTTCAGAGCTGATGCGGGCAGGCCGGGCTGGACCCAAGAGCTCCAATAGCCTGGAGCAGTACACCTAGAGGGCCGACCCCTCGTGCCCTTTGTAACGGCTGGACTTGACTTTGAGGGACACGAGGCCGAGTTGCCTTTTAAGATGCCCCCAGGGCCATACAGCGGAGGGAACGTAGGCTTTGAAGTCAGACTGAGTGTGAGCTGGGGCTCGAACACATGCTAATCGTGTCATGTAGAACAAGTTACTTAACCTCTGGTTCCTCAGTTTGCTCCCGTTTGAAAGTGGTGGAGGTAATTCCTGCAGCAGCATTGCAGGATGTGGGCGAGGTGTGTGTCAAGTGCTTAGCGTGGGACCAGCGGAAGTGAAGTCTCAGTAAACCGTAGGTGTTAGTTTTTAATCCCCGAAATAACTGATGACCTTGGAAGGTGACAGAATGAATGTCTCAGACTGACCATTAATTTATCTAAAAAATATCTGTCTAGTACTATGTCTCCAGCTCTATAGACACTGCCACGTTTTATCTCATTTAGTATTCACAGCGACTGCCAGGCAAATGGTATTGTCTCCATTATTATTACAGAGAACGAACAGCCTCCCAGAGGGTCAGATCTCACCAGTAGATGGCGTCAGGGAGGCGGGGGTTTGTGGCCAGTTCTCTCAGACAGCTCCGGTCAGGACACCATCAGTGGCTTTCCTGCCTTCCAGCATCTTCCAAACTTCCGAATGTTTCCTTCAGTTGCCTCATCCTTTGGTTGTTTCCCTGCTTGCTTTTGTCTAGACAGTGGGAGGAAGAAATCCATTTCAAATCTGTTACCAGGCAACAGCACTGGTTAAAAGCAAACCTAGTGGGTGAGACAGGAGTAGAGAATTAGGGTTCCGGACTGTGGCTGGTAGTGGTCTGTTTCCCGGCCACCCCCCGCTCCATCCTAGCTGTTCACTGCTGGGTGAAGGAGGCGTCGCGGCGTTTTAGGAGTGAAGGAACCATCTAGGTGACTCCTTTGCAGGTGGGAATGTGACTCTCAGCCAGGACGTGCCGCAGCTGCGGGGAAGCACTGGCGCGAGTGCCCTCTGCCCCGGGCTGCTGGCTCTTCGAGTGCTTTCTTGGGAGGAGCACTGCCCTCTGGACCAGGAGAGGTGTCTTCCTGTCCCCTGTCACCTTCTCCCAGGCCCTCGGCACTCTCACTGGGTATCAGGCAGGTTGAGCACCAACTCACTAACTCACTCTGTCTCCTGTCTCGTTATGGGAAAGGCTCCCCGCTTTGCAGCACGTGCTCAGGGGGAGCTTCAGTTCTCAGGCTCCTCTGTGTGGCTGCTGCTCAGACCGCAGCTCCAGCCGTCTTGTCTCTGGGAAGCGCTAAACACTGTCCCCAGTTCAGGATTTTCACTGGGCTGATTATCTCAAGTGCTGGAGCATCTGTCCGTCACCCTCGTATGGCAACTTTGTGGATTATCCTCCCGAGCGCCACCTCCCTTCCACCCTAATCACTGTATCTTCAGGGAGCAGGAAATAAAATCATGCAATGCTTTCTAAATAAGATGACTTTGTGATACTTCCATTAGCATAGGTAATAAGAGACCATACCTTCAAAAGTGAGGCAAACACTGGTTTGGCTTCTGCTTTCGATGCCCCAGGAACGTGACTGATGCCGCAGCACAAGTGATGAGACTTGGCGGAACGAAGACGGAAACCGAAGCTCGGCTGTGGCCGCGGCTTTCCTTTCCCGTGGGATAGTCCACGCCAGCCTCTCCGCGCCTTCTCTTTGCCGACAGAGTCAGCTGCAGGATTATCAGCCCTTTAAAATTCACAGCCTATTCTGAAACCTCATTTTCAGCAAAAAACAAACAAAAAAACCAACCTCAGTGTTTAAAGATCTGTGAAGCCATTTGCTAGATTTTTGGCATAGTTTTTTTTAAATTTAAAAATCCAAGTTTTTTTTTTTGTAAGTTTAAGATGTGCAGTAGTTTATTTGCAGATAGCATTATAGACACCTTCAGCTGAAATTAAATACAGATTTATGTGTGTCAGTGCAACTCTTGGTAAGATATAAAAACTAGAAATCTAAATTTGTTGGAAATTTTTATTTAAAAATCCAAGTTTTTTTTTTGTAAGTTTAAGATGTGCAGTAGTTTATTTGCAGATAGCATTATAGACACCTTCAGCTGAAATTAAATACAGATTTATGTGTGTCAGTGCAACTCTTGGTAAGATATAAAAACTAGAAATCTAAATTTGTTGGAAATTTTTATTTAAAAAGTTGGTTGGGAGGTCCAATTGTGTGACTTTAAAGTACCTTCTAATAATTTTATGAAATTCTGAGATCTTTGTTTTTAGTTAAGAAAAAAGTGCGGTGGAGTTTGATTTCAGCTCACTCAAGAATAGGGTGTTTGGTTGCGCTTTGGTTGTTTCCAGTTCTACACCAAATGCATAGGTGATACTCCGAAGTCCCTGATGCTTACGCGTTACCCTTGGTCTATCAGATTTTTGTTGCAGTGAGGCAGAAGGGAAGTAGCAAAGCCTTTGTTAATGTAAATTGAGAAAAAATTACATCCTTTCCTAGTAGGAGCTGATAAACTGATAATAGGCGCAGAAATGTTCAAAATGATTTTCTGTGGGCAGGATGATCTGAAACCAGGGAAGAGCAAGTCCACTAGGCAGGACAGACTTCGCTATTTAAAATGAAAGGTCAGTTCACAGCATCATAACAAACAATAGTGATGTATATATTCCCAACAAAGTAACGTCGCTACATTTAATAAACAGCTATAAAAGGGGACAAATGGTCTCTGGTATAAAAGGGCTGGCTACCTGGACATAACATCCTTGTGAGGCGTCTAAAGGTCAAATTGAGGCTGGTATCTGGGTAAATTTGCCCTCTGCCTGTTGAATGTCTGTGCTACAAGAGGTAATGAGCCTCTTTCTAAACACAAATGAACCTTGTATTTGTGTAATCTCCCAAAGGAGAGCTATAGTTTACATCCAATTTTGTGATCTTTCTGCTATGAAAAGTGTTTATTTTGCCTTTTTTCAATGTGTGCGCTTGACTTAGCAACCTTAAATAAGGAAAGGAAAAAAATAACCCTCTGAACTCTGATCTTTTGCTGCTTTTGTAAATTCTGATTGTGAAGTTGGGAGTGAAGATGTTCAAAAGCCCATGGTGAATTTATACACCTTTAGGACATTGTGCCTGTTTTAATATCATGAGCTTTTAAAATACTTTGTTAAAACACAAATCAGTTTTTTGTAATTGTGTAGATACTCATAAGTAATTTTGAATGCCACTCATTGTATAACTGAATTTTTATATCCAGAAATATATTCTTGAGTACTACTTTTCCTACCTTGAG